ATCATTATTGCGGTCCGTTTCGTCACTGAAAACGGATGAGCCTCTACTCAAAGGTCTTTCAGGTTGTGCCATGATGATAGGAATGACTTCTCAGTCAAACGTTTCAATATTATAATGTCGATACCACCACCCCACCATACATCTCAAGTATAAACTAACGCCCACCCAATTCACACGTGATATAATATCGATTTAAACTTCTGGGTTTTATAAATGCGTTTATTATTTAAATAAATAAAAAATTACATAAATTATATCTATTTGTAACTGAACTTAAAAACTAATACAGGGATCTATTTGCTACAGAACCATTTAACATATTATAACTAAAATAAGTGTCGTGAATTATTAACGCAGAAACTTTAGTGTCTTTTGGAAATTTAGTCTTTCTTGTTTGAAATTCTATTTTCACATCCACTGTGGAGGACTTCACGGCTTCTGGTTGTCGGCTGCAGTCGATAATAAACACAGGATTTTGTAAATACTCTGCAAAATCCAACATTGGCTCGTTCATCTCACGTCCATAGTAACTGCTTTGGAAATTTTCATAGTTGTAATATGCTGGTGCATACAGTTTCTTTGAAAATTCTAGATTCCATCTTTCATATGGATATACCGAGGAATTCAGGTATAAGCGAATGTCGCTCACATCAGCCGTAGTAAATTCTGTGGCGTCTTTTTCTTTCTTATCACAATTTTCGTTTTTTTGGAAACCGATTATAAGAAAGCGGGGTCGCTCCAAACTGTTGCTAGTTCTTAAAGTCCAAATATCGGCTGAAGTCTCACGCAACGTAGGAAGTTCGTAAAGGTCCCATTTGCGGTAAGCTATTTGAATATTGGTACTTTGGCCCCCCTTGTTCATGCGTGACATTATTTTCAACTTATGATCATCGTTGGGAATGATATGACGGATTTTCCATTCAATTTTGTCGAGTGTGATGTCTGCTTCCACTTCACCGATATAACAGTTGGCGAAGGTACGAGCAATTATCAATATAAGCTCCTGCTTGACGTTGAAGATTCCCTTCGTATAGTCCTCGGCAAAACCCATTAAATACTTTAGAGGCAATTTACCAGAAAACACGTGACTTGTGGAATCGATGAGATGCTGTTTATCTTCAGCCAGCCCCCAACCACAAGCTAGTAGGGGTTTCAACTGTGAAGCACCAAACGACACCATTGTTTTAAGGGCCGATGTAATTCCAGGTTTTCGAACAACTGTTACATGCTCACCACCCATTTCATATCGAATTTCGTCGAACAGAAAGGCTAGGGCATTATTGGATAGGTAGCACTTTTTAGCAGGATCTTTGGGCTTAAACTTCCCCTCGATATAGATATAGCTTTCGGATATGTCCAGTATTATATCTTGGAAATGGACTGGAATGCAAATTTCATCAGAGTTTTGGAAAACTGGCGAACCATATGGTTTATATGTATGTTCTTGTAAACTGACGATGGAATTATCGAGAATGGGGCCGGTAAAGACGTCAATCTTGTCGCTGCTGGTCATCATTTTTGCTTTCTAGGCTTCAATTTCAAACCGCAGATTGATTTCAAAAAGCTTCGATCTTGTGCAGACAGTTGCTGCAACTGTGTTGTCAATCTCAAGTTCGAGCTACGAGTGAATCCCCCCGTGGTATCTCGCCTATTTTTATTAGGTTTTTCAACAGATTTCTGGATAGATTGAAATCTGTGCAATTGACGATTGTAGCAAAATCCCATTGTTATACAACAATTTTCGTCAATTCCAATTTCACAATAATTTTCTCTCCTCGAAAGTCTATCAGGCGACCGTTATCATCCAAGATGCGTAATGTGATGTTGTCGATGAACTGACGTCCTTCAGGCTTTATGGGCAAATAAATATTGTTTTGAGGTTCTTTTGTAATTTTGTAACCGGGTTCAACTTCTATGTCAAATTCGAATAATGTGTGACACTCGCGAGAGTTCAGGTATGCTCCCGAGGTGATATTACAGTCTATACGTATAATTCGCACTTTCATAATGTCTACGGGAAATACGGATTCATGTTTCACACCACTTTCCAGCTGGCCACTCTCATATCCTAACATCTTACCGATACTATTCGATACGCCGAAATCGATATTAAGCTTGGATTTCAATTCGCATTTCAATGTATTGTTATTGGCTTTCAGCGAAAATAGATTAGTATCATCATCTTTCGAGGACGCTCGCAACGCTGCAATCATAACATGCTCGATTTCAACGATTTCGTATGCTCCAGGAGGAATAGTTACACGCGAAATTTTGGCACTACCTTTTTTACTGTATTCAAAGGCATTGTTGCTTTCATCAACGTTGAAAATAGAGTTGTATGTGTAGAATCCGAGAAGGGCCAATCCATATCGGCTTGTTTTATCCAATTCAATGGGTGGGAAAAAATCGGCGGTTAAAACACTGCTGTGTCCTGTTAATGTGAATGTGAAGGACATGACTGATCAAAACAATTATGCGACTATTTTATTGCTGATTGCAACAACAAGCTAGATCGTTAAGGCTTTGTCGTCTTCCACGTCTTTCAGTTGACTGTGTGGAATTTTTCGTGGTTATCTTTACATCACCTGTCTTGCAGTAACAACAAAATATTCTTCTCGGGGCGGGTCCATCAGCTACATCACAGTTATTCCAAACTTCTTCATTGTAATGTTCGCCACAATATTGGTATTTTAATATATCCACATCGTTTTGTAGAGCTTCAGGTAACTTATCCCAGATCAACGCGATTTCTTTGGGTGCACACGCTATCATAACTTCCTTTGGCATCTCACCCAATTGCTCAGATGTCATTTTGAGTAATCCACCCGATCGGGAGAATGCTTTTAGTGATGATGCCATCTTTTTATAACCATCACGCTCAATCTGTGGCGTTATAGACATGGTTGGTGGTGATTTTGTGCCTAAGATTTCGAGAGAAACTTTAAACACAAGTGTCCACACCAGACTGTTCCAAATTGTTGTTGGCGGTCATATGTATAATAAATATTATTTGCAGCCTCTGGTCCTGTTCTTAGATAGCGCACTAATTCAACAGGTGGTGGTAAATCACCAAAACTGTCATAGTATGTTACTTTCCCCCTATCTTTTCTATAGGCCACCCAATGTGTCCCTACACCTCGCATACTATCCAAATTAATAATTGCTGTCTCACAGCGTCGTGCGCCATGTGTGGGTAGTGTGTCTCTCATAAATACACCTCTAAAATATGGTATTTTCATTTTTAATGCGTAGCTCTCTATATCGATATTGGATAGTGCTCTTTGGGGTAGGGATTCGATTAGTTTTTTGATTTATTGTGCATGAATAATCCTAACCCTGTTCGATACGGCTTTAGATACAATCCGCTTCCTCGTGAATTAAGGTGTAAGGTGGTTCCTGTTTTCTCTGCATTGGCATTTTTCGTGGTTTTTATTGCGCGTACTATCCCACTGACCCCTACTGCAATAGATCCAAGCGCCGATAATCCTGCAAATATTGGTATGAGCGGTAACACTCCTCCAACTTTGGGTATGGGTAGAACTCTTGGTGTTCGAATCTTTCGCCTACCACCGGCTGCTTTCACAGACTTGCGTGCAGCTATTTTAGAAGCTTGCAGGAAATTTTTTTCAACAAATTTTCGTCCTCCAGCTTTCATCAGTTCTGAACGAATTGGTCTTCTCACAGCTGATCCAAACGCTACTTTTTTCACTTTTTGTCTACTTGTCCGTTTTGCGCCAGCCCTCTTTACAACACCATTGTGATGCTTTCCTTTGCGGGGCCTTTTCTTTTTCTTCAATACAGTCGATACACCCATCCCAAATCGCTGTTTTCCTTTCATGATATTTGTTACTAACCAAGCAGCAGCCCTTTCACCTACACTAGCGTCTTTAGATTTCACTCTCTCCCAAGCTCGTTGTTCCAACTCGTAGTCGGCCTGATGTCGTGCAGGTAAATTATCTTTATTATGCAGATAAGATAGATCGTGTTTTCTGCATGCAGAATCCAGGAGATTTATACCTCTATCACCTCGTGCCACACGTTTCAGAACTTTCGTGCCCGGACCGCAGTACTGATAGCCTCCTGGTATATGTAACTCGAACGGGAGACTATTAATTAGTGAGTTTACAATACCACATCCAGTCTTATTTGAATAACGAGAACGTCCACTTCGCTTGACGATTGCCATCTAAATGATAAATACCGTGAACAGTTTGTTATAATATTTATTTATTTGTTCGCGACTGCGTGTATGAAAAAACATGCATTTCGTTAACCTAAAACAAAAGTTTAATATCGACAATTTTGATGAAAAAGTTGAATCTGGACATATGCAAAAGGAATACCGAAGACATGGCCCTTTGCTTCCGCGTTCTATTCGCGGCTTGCTAATCGGACCGTCAAATTGTGGGAAAACTAATGTTATGATCACACTGCTTATTCATCCTTCGGGATTACGTTTCGAGAACGTCTACATCTATTCAAAGTCCCTATACCAGCCGAAATATGAGTATTTGAGAAAAATTCTATCACCTATCAAGGGGATGGGTTTTTACACATTTACTGATGCATCCAACATTGTGGAACCATCGGATGCCAGACCAAACTGTTTTCATTTTTGACACATGAGAAAAACAAGATATAATAAGATCATACTTTAGTATGGGCAGACATAAAAATGTGGATGCTTTTTACTTAGCACAAACCTATTCCCGAGTCCCAAAACAACTTGTACGTGATAATGCCAACTTAATTATTATGTTCAAACAAGATGAAATGAATTTAAGACACATCTTCTCAGATCATGTTTCTCCTGATGTAACATTCACACAATTCCAGGAGATGTGTTCCAAGTGTTGGAACAATAAATATGGATTTCTCGTTATAGACAAAGATTGTGATTTGAATTCAGGGAGATACCGCAAAGGATTCGACAGCTATATATTTGTATAATAAAAACGTATGCGATTCATTTCATGTGTGCACAGTACTGAGACAACACCATGAATAACGAACTTGATTTAAAACGTAAACTGGTAGCTGTTACAGATGCAGTTAGAAAAAAATTTAAACAAATTAAAACAGAAACGGCGAAGCATAAATTTGAATTGGAGAAATTCTATGAACCAATCACTAAACCCTTAACATCTATCTCTAATGACGTAAAACAACAAAAACAGAGCAAACAACCAAACGCACAAACAAAACCGCGAAAGCAGAGTGTAAGCGTGTCGATTGATCCATCAGAAATATTTGAGAAATCACCATCAATGGCGGAGAGCACATCACACCAGTCACTACAAATATCTACACCAATAGATGCAACGAGAAGGGAACACCTATTCGACACACCCCCATCATCAATTACATCCCCTACATTATCCGATGTATCTAGTGGTAAAACATCTACAAAATCTAGGAGCTATCTCAACGCACTTTTGAGGGGCCTTAAAAAAACACCATCTCAGTATGATACCGTTTATGGGGTACATTACGGTAATAAAAATAGTAAGGTCAAAAATAAGACATACATTGGCGATAAGGAAGTACGTTTTCCCGAAGGAAAAGTATCATTATATAATGACCTATCGAGAAACATTGCTATATTCGATGGAAGCAGCGAACTTTACGATTTGCTGTTTTTAAAAAGTCCACCAGTATTGAATAGATTGGATGACATGCGTCCATCTGTACGTCAAAATTACGCAAACATTTTAGAATTAACGAATGCCGCATACAACCGCTATGATGAAAAACATGGACTGACGGAAACTAGGTGGGAAAAATATTTGAAAATCATAAAACCTTTGATGCAAAAGACGAAACTGGGTGAAGGCATTCGCAAAAAGAACAATAAATTTACCATATACCACAAAAAAAACTTCTATCATGTCATCATCCCGAATATGTTTATTGGAATAAGCCCAAGGAGTTGGTAAATAGATTACGTTTATTGTGGAGCTCTAAGGCGGCAGGACACACAGGACACGATAACGAGATTATTTCAATCATAGAAGAGCTTCGTGAGGAGGGTATAATTTACTGAGCAATGCATACATCGCATCAGTGTACCACGAGACGCGCTACACTTGAATAGATATGGAACCTAGCAATGAAAAACTTAAAATTGTTGGAGAACTTCATAAAAATGCGAGGAAAAATTTTACTAGAAGACGAACGATTATTAAGGGTTGTGGCAGATAGATTTAGCAGAAATGCAGCAATTTGCTGATGAAAATGCTGGGAATCGCTATATTCTGGTATGCATCAATTGTTACTCCAAGTATGTATACGCTAGAGCTATCAAGAACAAAACAGGTGTTGAAGTTACTAGAGCAATGAAAAGTATAATAGAAGAAGCAGCATACACACCAGCAAATATACAAAGTGATCATGGGAAGGAATTTTATAATAAGAATTTTCGAGCTCTTATGATGGAACACATTATTAATCATTATTCAACATATAGCACGATGAAGGCCGCAATTGTAGAGCGGGTTATAAGGACCATAAAAAATAATTTATATAAGCAGTTCTCTGCCAGGGGATCCAATAAATGGTTACATCTTTTACCCGCAATAACGAAAACCTATAATAACACCAAACATCGAACCATTGGCATGAAACCCATCAATGTAAAAAAAAATACTGATTTAAATGTGTACAATCATATCAAAGTGATGCCTAAAAAATATAAATTTCGTCTGGGAGATATTGTGCGGATAAGCAAATATAAGAGTATATTTGATAAAGGATATACACCATCTTGGTCGACAGAACTGTTTAAGATAGTGAAAGTTAACATTACCAATCCACCTACATATCTGTTGGAATCCATGGATAATCAACCAATTAAAGGATGTTTCTATGAAGCTGAGCTGCAGAAGACGAGAAGCCCAGATGTATATTTAGTTGAAAAAGTTCTTCGCGAACGTAAAAAAGACAATAAAAAACAATTATATGTTAAATGGTTAGGTTTTCCGAATCAGTTCAACTCGTGGATAGATAAGTCTGATATTGTTTAAATATATACTAGTTTTAAGTGTATAGGTACCTAGTTGTAAAATATAAGGCTTGTAAATAAACAAGTTTTTAATATTTTTTGGTTTTATTTCAGATTTAATATATGTTTTAGTACAAAATTGTTATTAAAAAGTTTAGAAACAGTCATAAATTTTCTGTACGGTGGTGAATCTAATAAAGATGGTGATGATGGGATTCGTCATTCTTCACTTAAATCTCAACTTGTGTCATATTCGTACTTTGCTAGCTGCAATCATACTATCAGCCTTCCTCTCAACACCCAACAATATTTTCATATCCTGTTTCATTCGCTTTTCCAAATCAGCTATTTTCTTCACAATATTTTCTTCCTGTGCATCATATCTTTTTATTTTATTTTCAAATGTAACCATTCGGTCATCAACGCTTATCAAACTTTCATGAATAGCCTGATATATTTTGTTTATTTTTTGTGCTAACTCTTGGCGCACTTTATGGATCTCCGTCAACACATATTGTTGGGTAGTAGCATCATCACTGGTTTCCGATATTGCAACATTCATCAAACGCTTTCCCACATTATTAAATTGATCATTGGGTGTTTGCACAAATCCAATTCCCGACGCACCACGTAAAATTTGAAATCTGTCATCATGAACTGTCTTCTGGCGACCAAACTGACTATTGTTTTGTTAACGCTCCCCATTTCGATGAAGAAATGAAGTTATTAACTCTTGTGTCGGTATTTATTAGCTTTTTTTCATTATTTTCCATCCGTCGTTCTAAATTACGTATTTTTTTATCATTCTCCAGATCTTTGCTTATATAGATGTTTCCAATATCATCCATTTTTTTATCTGTGCTCTTAAATCTTTCGTTTATACGGTTTTCTAAATCATCTAATGCATATTTCATTTGTTGATGAAACAACCGAATTTTCTCAAGCACAAACTCCTGGGTACTAACATCATTATCTGCTATCGGTTTTGCAACATTTGATAGACGCTTCCCTTCAATATCATAGTGACCATCAAAAGTTAACTTGAACCCATTTCTCTGTGTACAACGTAAGAACTGATGTTTATTATATACTCTTTGTCGACCAAATTTATCTATAGTGTTGTTAACACGCCCCATTTTCAACTAAAACTAACCTTGTAATTATCAACCATTTGCTTATATGGGAAACTAACCAAGAGTAAAAGATGAAAACAAAAACGCAAACCAATATGTACAAAAATTTATTATTACAAAGGTACAATTTACTAATTTTAATTATTTGGGTGCATTATTTTCTTCTTTTTGAGTTAGACCACTTTCCTGCACCAACCCATATTTTGTTACCAATTCACTTGGCATATGTGGTATTTCGATAAGGAATGTTTTCAGGTCTTCCTCGATCATTCGGCTACAGAATTCGTCAAGACCGAAGGAACCATATAAGTATCTTCGGCATAAGTTTGCTCCGACATTAAAGTTGATGGCGTCTTGAACATATTTTGAATCGTTTTGACCATTTGCAGGAACATCCGAATTGAAATATTCAAAATGTAATATTTCTTGGGCCATGTCTCCCAATTTGCGCGCCAGCCAGATCACGTAGAAATCCAATTCTTCATTAACACTTGGTGTGTTATTGCTGATGTCACACATCTTTAGAAATATTTGAAATATGAATGTGTTCTAATATACAGGGTGTCCCATAAAGATACCGACAAACTTTAAGGGGTAGTAGGGGACATCAAAACAAGCATTTTTGTTTATATAAACATATGTCCGCAAATGAGCCATTTGGGCTATAGAGCAAAAAAACTGTTTGATACTTTTATTCTTCGCAATAATTAAATCACTGTTTACTTTATCATCAAATAAATTATGGTTTACAATAATTGTTCAAAATGTTGACCATTTACTTCAATGCAAAAATTACACCGTCGGGTCATTGACTGAAAAGTTTAGTCTACGAAACACCTGTTCGTAATGAGGAAGATCTGATAGCAGGGATACTGGCGAGTTGTACCCATGTAGAAGCTATTCCCGGAATATTCCAAAGAGTTCGCGAGTTGAACAATTATTGTAAACCATAATTTATTTGTTTATAAAGCAAAATTAATAAGTAAACAGTGATTGAATTATTGCGAAGAATTAAAAGTATCAAACAGTTTTTTTGCTCTACAGCCCAAATGGCTCATTTGCGGATATATGTTTATATAAACAAAAATGCTTGTTTTGATGTCCCCTACTACCCCTTAAAGTTTGTCGGTATCTTTTTGGGACACCCTGTATATAAATTACAATACCCTAAAACTCATTACATTTTTCAAAAACAATCAATAATAATATTTCGTACACCCCATAATATAAAATCTATTTCAAACACCCAAAATTCAAAAGAGACTTAGTGTTACCCCCATATGACTGCGAACTTTGCCCCAAATATGTCAGCGCGTATTTGTCAGATGAAGAATTCATAATTTCGATGGTGTTCTCCGGTAGCATTTCCGCTACACGTTTTGGCAAAAATGTTTCAAAAACCACATCTCCGGTTTTTTCATACAATGTAACAAGAATAGTTTTACCAAACCGTGTTACCATGGGCACCAGTTTTCTAATTATGTAAACTTCATCCAACTTTAATGAAGAAATTTTTCTTCTTGCGAGAAAATTAACATCTTTGTTAAGCATATTATTGATTTCAACCAAGGTATCTTTTGAAATACTCATAATTTAGGAAAAATTTAACAATTTTTACGATACCTTGAACACACACTCACTTTCGGAATACTTCACAAACACAATATTTCTAGTTGACTTTGAAGGTGACAGATCGTACTACAAACGATGCTGGCGTGTGACTATGGCAACTTTCCTCAATCGGAAAAGAATTTATATACATCTCACGGTTGGTGGGAGGTGCTAACACCTGAATATTCAAGGTCGAATATGTTGGAGAAGTGGTGGGGGGTACTCAAGGTCACATTTCAAGGTCAGGGAGAGAAAAGTGGGAGGCGCTCAAGGTCACATTTCAAGGCCAAGGTCAAGGTCATGTGACGTCAGAGGAGTGGGGGGTGGTGTGAAGGTCATGTGACGTCAGAGAAGTGGGGGGTGGTGTCAAGGTCATGTGACGTCAGAGGAGTGGGGGGTGGTGTCAAGGTCATGTGACGTCAGAGGAGTGGGGGGTGGTGTCAAGGTCATGTGACGTCAGAGGAATGGGGGGTGGTGTCAAGGTCATGTGACGTCAGAGGAGTGGGGGGTGGCGTCAAGGTCATGTGACGTCAGAGGAGTGGGGGGTGAATCCGAATCGGGCTTTGAACACTACTGTTATTGTCTGGAAAAGTCTGGAAATCTCTGGAAACGTCTGGAAAAGACTTGGAAATTTCTGGAAAGGGTTGGAAAAATTCTGAAAAAGGTCCCAAAAGACCTGGGGATCATTTTCCAGAATCCGGATCAGTCTGAACAAGTCTGGATAAAGTCTGGATTAATCTGGATGAAGTTTGGGAAACTCTGGAAACGTCTGGAAAGAGCCTGGAAATTTCTGGAAAGGGTCGGAAACATTCTGCCAAAGGTCCCAAAAGACCTGAGGATCATTTTTAAGAATCCGGATCAGTCTGTACAAGTCTGGATAAGGTCTTGATAAATCTAGATAAAGTCTGTAAAACTCTGGAAAACTCTGGATAAGTCTGTATATTATCTGGAAAAGTCTGGAAAAGACTTGGAAATTTCTGGAAAGGGTTGGAAACATTCTGAAAAAGGTCTCAAAAGACCTGAGGATCATTTTCCAGAATCCGGATCAGTCTGAACAAGTTTGGATAAAGTCTGGATTAATCTGGATGAAGTCTGAAAAACTCTGGAAAGCTCTGGAAACGTCTGGGAAGAGCCTGGAAATTTCTGGAAAGGGTCGGAAAAATTCTGCCAAAGGTCCCAAAAGACCTGGGTA